GGGGGGGGGGGGAGATGGCTGCGATCGTTGTTGTTCTTTGTCACTTTGCTTCACATTTTTCTGATTGAAAAAAATAGTTATAGAACAGATTAACCTTATTTACATTGAACCTTATGGGGAAATTTAACTTGGTTTTACTGAATTCTGATAGGGGTTTTTTTAATTTAGTGTTACTGGCACAAATTATATATTGCCATGTCTGTTTTATATTGTGTCATGTTGTAATGGATTTTAATGATGTGAGCCACCCAAAGAGCCTATGGCTAGTGGGGCGGCATACAAATCAAATAAATCAAATAATGTAAAATAAATGGCTGTGGAATAGTTCAGAAGATATAACAACCTAGAGTTAAACAAACAGATGGAGGCAGCGAGCATGCCAGAGACACTCACTGCCTAGCATGTCATCAGAACCCAGTATTGCGAATTGCTGAGTCTTTGAAACCTTAGAAATTCTATGTAAGCACAGCAAAGCATGGACTGCAGTACTGTAAATTGGAGTGTGTGCCTTTAACTCCCAGCAATGTCTACTAAGATCACAGAAGTCAGAAAAGTAGCTGAATAGGATTGTGTGTGGTCAGCAATGGGGGTTCTTGTTTCTCACACCCCCATGATGAGGAAAAGCAGAATTAACTGCAGGATACATTATACAAAGGAAGGTGGAAAATATGCAAACTGGCTTGTGTATATTCAGCTCAGATTTCAGCACTTTATGACACAGAACTTGGAAATTCTGAAGACAGAATTTTATTTTTTGGTAAACCTGATCATGTCCACTTCCATTATTTTGTTCTTATTTCTTTATGCGCTTCCCCATATACAAAATTATTCACAATTTTTATCTCATTTGCCCTCTCACAGCTCCTATCAGCTTGGTTAGATTGACATTTTATACTTGGCCAATATGCAAATAGCAGCTTCCATCCACCCCATTCAACATTTTCAGTCCCCAAAGCCACTCAAAATATTTTGGTACATGAAGATGAAAAGTCTACAAGTGTTTCTGCTCTCCCTGACAAAAAATACAATGATAATAAATTGCATCATTAACACTTTACTGCCTTTTCATGACACCCCAAATCACCTGCCCGATGCGTCTGCTTAGTGGTAAGACCTAATGTGCATGCTGATGCGTCTATGAGTCTTTTCAACCACACAACTTATTTTCAAACCATCCTGGAGACTTTCTAAATCTGCACTTCCTGTATTCTTCTCTTCAGGAAGCTTTCTTATCGGCTCACTTCCCCTTTTGGACAAATAAAGCATGCTATATGTACTCTTATGTATAAATACATACCAAAAAAGCCCCACAAAATGCAAATAACATTAATATCAGCTTAATTTCATATATTTGGAATACCCCAGCTAGGCAAGTAATGTTTTTTTTTTAATTTTTAAAAGCCAGTACAATTAAACTGTGAAATAAATGCAGCAGCACAGACCAAGGTTGTACTTCAAACAATTGTATTAATTAATCGTATTTGTGGTCATGAAGAATGCTCACCCTCACTTATTTTCACTGTTTTTCTATTAAGCTGTAAGCCTTCACCTAGTTAAAAAGTGTCAGCTTGTTCTGTGTAGCTGGAGGAAGGCTTGTGTGATAGGCTTCTGTGTAGAATCAGATCTTCCACCAAATCCCTATAAAGCAGGAGAGTTTCAACAAGAAAAAAAAAGTTCTCTTTTTTTCAGTGGTTTCCCTTAGTACTAGAATTATGCACAAGTCAGTTTCCCTGAGTGAGATTCATAAGCTCCCCACTCATGTCGGCCTACAGGCCATTTTAAACTGCCCACCCTGCTTTATATGGAATCGGCAAGACTCAGGTTGTCCAAGGCCATCACTTCTAATTGCAGCCTCAGTAACTTGGCACAGCTTCATATTTTGCATTACAGTCAAGGGGTTGTAGGGGGCAGGGGGGAGATTGTAGATTAAATTGATTTAATTCAATTTTCTCCTCTGTGCTTGAAATTTACAGCTAGAGCATCCCCGGCAGATAACTGTCCAAGCTCTGTCTGAAAACGTCCACCATAAAAAACCCACCACATTTCTAAATAATTAGTGCCATTGTCAAATGGCTCTTAGCCTCAAAAAGTTTCTCCTCAAGTTCATTTGAAATCTACCTTACTGTAAAATAAGCCTATTATACAAGTCCCCCTTTAGTAACACCAAGAACAAGCCGTTGCCTTCTTCACCTGACACCTCTACAAATATGCAAATATCAGTATTTGACACAGATTCTAACACATTTATGATTATACCTTTCTTTTCTTTGTTTAAAGCAAGCACCTAAGCCTCATGGGCATTTTAAAAAAATTAAAATTTTTGAGCATTGTCTGTGAACCATATAAGTTAGAGAAGGATTAATAGGATACTCACTGGGCAATGCTCTTTCCAGTTCCTTACATTGTTACATGGAAGTGCACATGGTCCATCTTTTCATTATCTGTGTACATTTTTCTTCTTCCATTCCTTCAGCCCTTGCCAAATATATACATATTCCAGGTTTGTGGGTTGTGAAGGAAAGAAGGAAAGAGGTAGACTTATCTTTTGTACCTTATTTGAACCTTTTTATGGAATTTGGCTTTTCTTTTTAAAGTATTTGAAATCTAAAGGCACAATCAGAGAAGTCCTATAAAAGACATGAATAAAACCCAATGATGCTAGAATGTAACAATGCTAAGATTGGCAGTTAATCTAAGAACCACCTACATAAAAAGATCAAAGGCCCATCTTCAAAACACCTGTTGTTCAAAATGAGCTACTTCAGTATGTGCCAAAATGAAAAAACATTCAAAGATCAGTGATGATCTGATGCAATACAATTTTGGAAAAGTGAAAAGACAATAGATTATGTTCAAAAATGATACAAGAAAAATGTGCTAAACACATATTAAGGTTGCAATCCTATGTGGGAATGACCCCACTGAACTCAGCGGTCTGTTTGCAAAAAAGATCTGGCAGATAATCAAACAAACTGTGGTTTGTTCTCTTAATCCCTGGGTTATGTGTCTCCTCTGCCAGCTCCCTCACTGCATCTTATATGCTTCGTGTTGTTGGCATGTAAACTGGCCTGTTTTGACATTTTCCCCTGCTGTTTCTGTATTCTGGTAAAACAAGCCATGAACATCCCATAGTTCTGGATTTGCAAATAATTACAACCCAGAATTCAAAACCATCAAAAAGCATGCGATTTATTTCTGGATTTTTCACGGTTAAAAAATCATACACCACAACCAACCAGAATTCAACAATCCATACCCTGGGTTAGCATTATGCAGAAACAAGGTCAGTGAACATCATTGTATCAATGTACACTCATTGGTGTGTGCAGGGATGGGTGGACTTGAGGCTATAGTAAATGGGCATAAGTTTGCAGCTTTAATTAAGTTTTCATATTTATGGAAATCTATCCCACTCATTTGGAGAGGGAATGTCATCTGTAAGCTGCCTGGGTGCAGGGGTGGGAGATTGTTTTCATAATGTGTTAAGTAATTGAATATACATATGGAATTCAAAATAAAATTTTACATCCTTAAGGGAAAACAGAGTCAGAACTGACCATTTCTCCCAAGTCAGTTAGGTAGACACACAAAAGGTAAACATTCTTCCCAGAACAAAATGCATTTAACGAATGGTGTTAAATTACATGTGGCATCACTAAGCAAGCTATATGATTGTTGAGTCAAGCAAGTGAGGCTGTGACCCCACCACAACATTGAGAGAATATCAGAAGATATAAGAGGAGCAGTAGATAAAGATGATGCTAAATATCAGTTCCTAACTCATGTGTGCGTTCTCTCAACCATAAACTTTGCTGACCTCATCATATTGTACGTTCTGTTAAAGGTAACAGCATAAGGACTAACTCTGCCATGGTTTCCTAGGACAAGAGCACATAGAGTTACTGAAGTCATTAATCTCAGAAGTAATTACGCTATGAGATAAAATCAGCATCAGCCAGTTTCAACTAAAACAATCGGTAGGACATATAATGTCCACTTTTGTTGAAGGATGACCTTTCCAAATGCTGTGGTTTATCTGACAGGAGCCCATATCTGTTACTGAAAAACCCACCACAGGAGGGGAGGTACTAGAAATGGGGGGGGGGGTTCCTACTGTGTAGAGAGGGTGACTGGCTGTTTTTTTTTTAAAGTATACTCCCATGGCCACCATTTTGCAGCAGTGCCTA